CCCTTGCCCGTCGCCTCTCCTCCACTTTTACGAGTCTGTCCTGGATCCGCCTATGCTGATGGAGCAAGTGGATGTTGTTACGGAACCCGCGAAAAGCCGGCAAAGAAAAAACCGTTACAAATTTTCATATTGTTTAGGAGGCAGATAAGGAAAGAAACGTGTGTGTGTGTGTGTGTATGTGCGTGTGTGTCTATGTGCGTGTGTGTGTGTGTGTATGTACGTGTGCGTGTGTGTGTGTGACTTTGAGACAGATACACAGTAAATGTGCTCTAAAAAAATACAAGAGTCCGTGGTGCAATGATTCAATACGTCGCGTACGAATATAAAGAAGAGAAGTTCGGTTCTCCACCGATTCATACCACATCCAAAAAGGGTTTCTTTGACAACAGGTACATCCCAATTACATAATTCGTTCCAAAACGATACTGGCTGATAAAGGCAGTATCAATGCAATATCAATTTGCTCGAATTATCCAGCAAATCTAATGAGTTAGCACTATGCGAGCAAAATGAGTGACCCAAGTCCAGCAACAGCGAGTAGGTGATGCTAAGCTTAGGTCCCCGTCCTCTTCCAGTCGCATTTAGTCAGAGATATTCATTGTTTGTGTCTTTAAAATTTCTGAAACACTTACAGCGAACATTTTCCGATTTGCTTCACAACCATCTGACATAACTTATAGTGTAAATTGGATTATTTTTTTGCTAAAAATGGCTTCTAAAAATTATCAAAAACAAGTAAGATTATACCTTAGCAGTGGATGGATCCTTGATACAATCGGCAACACAAAATAGCTGTGTCTGGCAAGACAGTGCCATTGTAACGATTGGTAAGCTGCAAAATTCATAGCAGAGTAACTACGAAAAGCAAACTTCCCAAGCATGATGCTTTTATGGCAAAAATTTTTAATAAGTTTTTTGAATAAACTCAAAAAATACGGAGGATGGTGGCAAGTCGGTAAACCCCTCTATAACTCGTTTATTCGTTTCGATGGTAAATTGGTGCTGGCATTTTCCAGAGAGAAAAAACTGCCATCCGCTTGGTTTTGAATAACCATCGAAAGAGAGAACCATCGACAACTTTACCAGTGAGTGGTTGCTATTGGCAGATTCGGAAGTACTCGAACTAATTCCGAATGCCACTGGCTTCATAGATCGTGAACACCAAGATTTTGACTTATTTCATTTTGTAATGTTTAGGACTTAATTTAGGACTTTTTTTTAATGTAATGTTTAATTTAGTTTTTTTTTATTTAATTATGTAGTGCAAAATTAATAAAAAGTTTTTCTTTTTTTTTTCTATTTAGGTTATGCTAATACTTGTGATATTTTTATTTAGCATGTATTTGTTATATTTCTGTTAATATTTGTATTAATATTTGTTATAAATATTACAAATAAAACTAATATTTGTAATATTTAGATTATGCTAATTTTAGTAATGCAAAAATTCGGTAAGTTTAGGATTGAACGAACCTCGTAAGCAGGCCTTCCTGACGCCACCAGTATACATCGGCGCTCCACTTCCCGTCAAAAATTCGTGGAATGCATTCGATGAGCATGCGTAAAACGAAAATAAAATAAAAGAACACAGTAACCGAACTGATACCCGATAAGCTGCTCAAATTACGAAACAGTGATAAAGGCAAGATAACGAATAAAAATACCAGTACCTGAAAATAAAAATACCAAAAATGCAAAAACAAGCACAACTTATGCGGCACCACCTGAGGTAGGAATTCACGGAAGTATCCCTAGCAATGTCTCTGGATGTAGGAACTACTGCAATTCAGCCTATGGCCAGAAATCCGTTGGACAAACGGATATTTAACTTAAAATTGCTAGCATATCGCAACCTTACTTCAAACTTCGAGATTTTGAATTTTTTGGATTTCAAATTTTGAATTTTGAGATTATGAGATAAAAGCATTCAGGACCCTTCCAAAAGCAACTACCCGCTTGCTGGATAAGA